TGCCACCTTAGGTGTATGTGGCTGGCGCCTTAGCCACTTCAGCCACAGGCGCTGAGCCTGAAGTCTGGTCTTTATCTACCTCCTTTTTCCTCCTTCTCTGTCTCATAGCTTCTCCTTATCCTGTGTTCAGTATTTTTTTCTTGATTTCTCCAGGGATTATTCTTTGCTTGAGTGCATCTCTGTTTCTTGTCTCAGTTGTTCTTTTTATGATCACATCTATTTTGGCATTTCTTGGCCTCAGTTTCTATTCTTTCCTGTGTACGTTCCCCATTTCTGTGTTTCTTTTCCTCTTCCCTCTTTTTTTTTTGTTTTTTGAGACAGAGTCTCAAGCTGTTGCCCTGGATAGAGTGCTGTGGCATCATAGCTCACACAACCTCCAACTCTTGGGCTCAAGCGATCCTCTTGCCTCAGTTTTTCTATTTTTAGTAGAGACGGGGTCTTGCTTTTGCTCACGCTGGTCTGGAACGCCTAAGCTTAAGCAATCCACCCGCTTCGGCCTACCAGAGTGCCTCTTCCCTCTCTTATCTTTTATTTGTCTTCATCTTGGGTCCCTCTAAGGGCTGCTCTCCTGCCCACAGGCTGGCTGTCCCTACTCTGTGTCCATCCTCTCTCCATACTGTGTGTGTCCAGTCCCCTCCCTGGCAGAAGCGTGGAGGTAGAGCTATATGGGCTACATGTCGCCACCTAGAGGCTCTTCAGGGACCCACACTCTGATCAACCCGGAAGCCCTAGAACCCCACACAGTCTGACCACACTGGAGCCAGCTGTGGGTTTCCCCAAGACTCACCTGCTGACCCATGACTGGTGTCATTCATATCCATTCTCACTTATTGGTGCCAGCTCATCCAGCTGTTTCCCTGCAGGGCTGGGGACAGAGGCATTGTGAGGTCAAAGATCACTAAGGAGGAACCCCCCTAAGGCCTAAGGAGGGGAGGTCTCTCCCCTCCTCCTCTCAGGGACAGCCAGGAGAGAAATGTGCATCTGAGACCTGTCCAGTGATGACTGGGTGGCCCCTAAGTTCTCCATGTGGCTGCTTCTCAGCCCCTGGTACCTAAAGGGAGTTGGAGTCACTGCCAAAGTGGTGCCCAAGGTATGGGCACAAAAGAATAAGCACTAGGCCAGGCGCCGTGGCTCATGCCTGGAATCCCTGCACTCTAGGAGGCCCGGGCAGATGGAGTGTCGGACTCAGGAGTTCCAGACCAGCCTGAGCAAGAGTGAGGCCTTGTCTCTAAAAATAGCCAGGTGTTGTGGCAGGCGCCTATAGTCCCACCTACTTTGGAGGCTGAGGCAAGAGGATCATTTGAGCCTAAGAGTTTGAGGTTGCTGTGAACTATGACCTTGCAGGACTCTACCAAGGGCAACAAAGTGAGACTCTGTTTAAAAAAAAAAAAGAAGAAGAAGCCCTAGACTCCTGGGCCTGAGGGAGGAGTGGTAGGGGGCCTGGACTTCTGAGTCCTGCAGTCCCCTACTTCTGGGCCACCGACCAGTATGGTCTGTGGTATGTTAGGAATCTGGCCAATAGCAGGTGAATGGTGGGCGAGCAAGCAAAGCCTTATTTGCTTTTATAGCTGCTCCTCTTTGCTCCCATCACCACCTGAGCTCTCTCTCCCTCATATCACATCAGTGGTGGCATTAGATTCTCATAGGAGCTTGAACCCTACTGTAAACCATGCATGTGAGGGACCTAGTTGTGTACTCCTTATGAGAATCTCATGCACCCCATTCACATCTGTGGAAAAATTGTCTGCTATGAAACTGGTCTTTGGGCTTGGTGCCTGTAGCTCAGTGGTTAGGCAGGTGGGTTCAAACCCGGCCCACGTCTGCTAAACAACAATGACAACGGCAACAAAAAAATAGCCAGGCATTGTGGTGGGTGCCTGTAGTCCTAGCTACTTGGGAGGGAGCCTGAGCCAAGAGAATCTCTTAAGCCCAAGAGTTTGAGGTTGCTGTGAGCTGTGACACCATAGCACTCTACCAAGGGTGACATATAGAAAGGCTGTCTCAAAAAAAAAAAAAAAAAAGACTCAGTGCCTGTAGCACAATGGTTACAGCACCAGCCACATATACCCTAAAACAACAATGACAACTGCAACAAAAAATAGCTGGGCATTGTGGCAGGCGCCTGTAGTCCCAACTACTTGGGAGGCTGAGGTAAGAGAATCGCTTAAGCCCAAGATTTGGAGGTTGCTGTGAGCTGTGACACCACAGTACTCTACCATAAGGGTGACATAGTGAGACTCTGTCTCAAAAAAAAAAAAAAGAAAGAAAGAAAGAAACCAGTTTTTGATACCAAAAAGGTTGGGGACCACTGCACTGGGTCTCTGGCCTGGATCCCTGTCTTGAGTGGGGAGGAGGCTGGGTGGGGAGGCTCCCGGAACCCTGGGTCCAAGGGAGGAGGGGCTGGGTGTTCCTGGAACCCTGGGTCTGTGCGAGGAATGCCCGGGGGCCTAGATGTTGAGTCCTTGGGAAAATGTCCTGTGTGTCCCTTACCTTTCTAAGGCTTTTCAGGGGTTGGGTCCTGGGAGGTCTTCACTTATCTGTGCACCTTCCCTGTCGTCTTCTCATCTGAGCTTATCTCAGGGCTGGGGCCAAAGTTCCTGATCAGGTAGGAGGTGCTTGTATTTGACTTTGCCCAGCACGGAGTGGGAGGTGGGGGGTGGGGACCTACTGACCCAGCTCTTTCCAAGGACAGCCCTCAGCCCTCATGTTGTAGGAGGAGCTCATGGCCTGCTTCAGGAATTCCCTCCAGTATAGGGTGATCAGACAGGAGAGGGACTTGGCCAGGGCTACATGCCTGGTCTAGAATGCACTGGGATTGAGGTAGAGTAGGCCAGAGGGACCTAAGTGCAAGAGGTAGGAGACCGGGTGCCAGGGACCCTACTCTTTCTCACTGCTGCCCTCATCACCTTTCTTGCTTCTCTCCTCACCCCAGATATGGGCCCGGAAACTTCTCCCTTTCCCTTGGCGTCTGTGTGCTCCCAGGAGATATGCCTTCAATTTCAAGGTGAAAGGAGGGGACTATATGTTTGCATCTGAGGGAGGAGGGGGGCCTGCAGATTGGATATCTCCAAAAGGTCCACAGCCCAGAGCTGAAGGTGGGTAGCAGTGGGAGGCCTCATAGCTTGCTCACAGCTAAAAGGAAAGAGAACTGCATATCACAGTTTGGGAGGCTGTGGCCAAATTACTGGATGGCCAGGTTCCTTGTCTTTTCTCAGGCTGCTGACCTGCAACTGGAAATGACGCAGAAGCCTATTAAGAAGCCGGATGCCAGGGAGCCCCTGGTGTTTGGGAAGATATTCACCGACCACATGCTGATGGTGGAATGGAGCCAGAAGAAGGGCTGGGGCCAGCCCCGAATCCAGCCCTTCCAGAACCTCACACTGCACCCAGCCTCTTCCAGCCTCCACTATTCCCTGCAGGTGGCATGGTGGCCAATCTATGTCCTCTATTCTTGTCCTCATCTCTTCCTCCTTGCTGTGTCTCTAGCCAGGTGTACCTCCCTGTGTTTGCTTTTTGCATGTGTCTTTCTGTATATTCATCATCTCTTTTCTGAGGCTTCCTATGCCCCAGGCCTCATGCTGGGTGATGCTGGGCCTCTGAGATGGGCAAATCTAGTTCCTTCACTTTGCTTGTAACTTAGTGTCATTTGTGCTCTGATAAAGAACAGAGAGGCCCCTCAAGTTTTTTTAAAACTTGAAAGAAAGCCGGGGCCTCTCCTAGGAAAGAGGGGAGCTTAGGATGTTAGAGAAAGGGGACAGCTTACACATAGTTCCCAGTGGGAAAAGTTCCTGGCACTTTTGGGAGGAACTGTGTGGTAGGATCATGGTGGAGGAGACTGAAGATGTAGTCAGTGCCACAGAGGATCTGAAGGGGCTGGGGTCTTGTACAAGGGCACTGGGAGCAATGCAAGGCTCTGAGTAGGGGAGGGCCAGGGTGGGGATGGACAGGAGCAGACAGGGCAAAGCGATTCAGGGACACAAGAGACTGGCTGAATAGGTGAGGGAAGACAAGGGAGAGGCCGAGGATGAGACCCAGAAGTCTAGCTAGGTGACCAGTTAGACTGTTTGTGGGTGAGATGGAGCAGGTTTATAGTACCTGGTGAACATGAGAGGCCTGTGACATCCCTAGGAGAGAGATCCATGAGGCAATTGGCTTATGACTTAAAGCTATGGCTGAAGGCAAAAGTCTGGCTGAAGGCAAAAGTCTGCCTGAGGAGACTGTAGTTGAGACAAGATTTGGATGAGTGTTTTATAGGTCAGGCCGGTTTGCAGTTTGGGTATTTTTTGTTTGTTTTTTTGTTTGTTTGAGACAGAGCCTCAAGCTGTCGCTCTGGGTAGAGTGCCGTGGCATCACAGCTCACAGCAACCTCCAACTCTTGGGCTTAAGCGATTCTGTTGCCTCAGCCTCCCAAGTAGCTGGGACTATAGGTACCTGCCACAATGCCCAGCTATTTTTTTTTTTTTTTTGAGACAGAGCCTCAAGCTGTCACCCTGGGTAGAGTACTGTGGCATCACAGCTCACAGCAACCTCCAACTTCTGGGTTCAAGCCATTCTCCTGTCTCTGCCTCCCAAGTAGCTGGGATTACAGGCGCCTGCCACACACCTGGCTATTTTTTGGTTGCAGCCATCATTGTTGTTTGGGGCTTGGGCTGGATTTGAACTCGCCAGCTCAGGTGTATGTGGCTGGCGCCTTAGCCGCTTGAGCCACAGGCATCAAGCCAGCTAATTTTATTATTGTTGTCATCATTGTTTAGCTGTCCTGGGCCGGGTTCGAACCCACCAGCCTCAGTTTATGTGGCTGGCGCCCTACCCACTGAGTTATGGGTGCTGCCCTGATCACCTCTTGTAATTGCAAAAGTCAAATATGATTTGAGTATTACAATTTTAATTTTGAGACAGAGCCTCACTCCCTTGCCCACACTAGAGTGCCATGGCATCTTCATAGCTCATAGCAACCTCAAACTCCTGGGCTCAAGCAATCCTTCTGGCTTAGCCTGCCCCCCAAATAGCTGAGACTATAGGCGCCCACCACAAGGCACAGCTATTTTGTTGTTGTTGTAGTTGTCTTTCTTGTTCGGCAGTCCCGGGCAAGGTTCAAACCCGCCAGCCTTGGTGTATTTCACAGGCTACCTACCTACTGAACTATGGGCGCTGTCCTTGAGACTGTTTCTCATTCTGTTGCCCAGGGTAGAATGCCCTGCTGTCATAGCTCACAGCAATTTCTAACTCAGGCGTCCTCAAACAATGGCTCACGGGCCACATGCAGCCCGCCTAGGAGATTTATCTGGCCCACCAGATATTTTTGCCACCGCTGCCTGTCCTGCTTAGCAGCCCACTCGTCCTGGGGCCAGAAGTCTGGCCCTCCAACGGTCTGAGGGACAGTGATCTGGCCCTCTGTTTAAAAAGTTTGAGGACCCCTGCTCTAACTCCTGGACTCAAGCAAGCCTCTTGGGAAGCTGGGACTACAAGGTGCCTGCCACAACACCCAGCTACTTTTTCTATTTTCAGTAGAGACAGGGTTAGCTCTTGCTCAGGCTGGTATTAAACTCATGAGATCAAGTGATCCACCTGCCTCAGCTTCCCAGAGTACTAGGATTAGGGTGTGAGCCACTGCACCCAGCCTATCCACTAGATTCTTGTGTGCAAAATTGTTCAGCACACAACTAGAAACAACTTAGTTGTTAAAATTTTATTTGGTGTGTTTTTAAATTTAAAACACCTTTTAAATAAATTGGACATAGGGCTGTGTTCAGTGGCTCATGCCTGTAATCCTAGCACTCTGGGAGGCTGAGGCAGGTGGATTGCTTGAACTCCTGAATTCAAGACTGGCCTGAGCAAGAGTGAGACCCCATCTCTAAAATTAGCCGAGCATTCAGCTCAGTGCCTGTAGCTCAAGTGGCTAGGGCGCCAGCCACATACACCAGAGCTGTCAGGTTTGAATCCAGCCCGGGCCCAGCAGACAACAATGACAACTGCAACCAAAAAATGGCCGAGTGTTGTGGCAGGCACCTATAGTCCCAGCTACTGGGGAGGCTGAGGCAGGAAAATCACTTGAGTCCAAGAATTCAAGGTTGCTGTGAGCTATGATGACATGGTACCCTGGGCAACAGCTTGAGACTTTGTCTCAGAAAAAAATAAATAAATAAAAATAGTCAGGTGTGGTGCCTGTAGCCCTAGCTACTTGGGAAGCTGAGGCAAGAGAATCACTTGAGCCCAAGAGTTGGAGGTTGCTGTGAGCTGTGATGCCGTGGCTCTCTACTGGGGGTGACAAAGTGAGACTCTGTCTCAAAAAATAAATAAAACAATAAATTGGACATATATTTACACAGTTCAAAATTCTATATGTACAAAAGGAACTATCCCTCCTCAGACTCCGCCACCTGCTTGCAGCCCCAGAAGCAGCCCTGTCACCGGTTCCTATGTTCTTCCAGTGCTCTGCTTTCTGGATATCAGCACTGATATGTATGATCCTTTCACCTCATTCTTTCTTCACAAAGGGTACCGTACGCTCCACTGACTTTCCTCATGCTCTCTTCCTTCAAAGTATTTTGTATATACTTCTGTAAGCAGCCCTAAAAGAGCTTTTCCCATCTTTTGGTATATTCTTCTGTAGCAGCTCTAAAAGAGCTTTTCCATCTTTAGTTTTGCATCTTATTGTTACCCTACCAATACCCCTCACGAGGCAATCTCCCTGTTGTTGGACACTTAGGTTGTTCCTAGTTGTATGCGACTATGAGCAATTCTGCACTAAAGAATCTAGCTCACTCATACTTTCTTTAGGTACAAGTGTATCTCTCTGCCCAATTTCCGGCACTGCTGGGTCAAAGGATATGTAAGGTTGTAATTTTGGTAGGTATTGCCACATTGACCTCCATAGAATCCTGTCAGTTTCCACACCCACCAGCAGAGCCTGTTCCCTCATACTTGAGACAACTCTTGTCAAAGTTTTAGATCTTTCCCAGTCTCTTAAATGGTTTTAAATGTACCTCAAAGTAATTTTCTTACTACCAATGAATGGAGTTGGCCATGTCCTCACAAGCTTAAGAGATATTTATGTTTCTTTTTTTCTTTTCTTTTCTCTCTCTCTCTTTTTTTTTTTTTGAGACAGATTCTTTTTTTTTTTTTTTTTTTTAGAGATAGAGTCTCACTTTGTTGCCCTCTGTAGACTGCTGTGGCATCACAGCTCACAGCAACCTCCAGCTCTTGGGCTTCCAATGGTTCTCAAACTTCCTAAGGCCGTGGCCCTTTAATACAGTTCCTGTGGGTCACGGCCCACAGGTTAAGAACCACTGGCTTAGGCAAGTCTCTTGCCTCAGCCTCCTAAGTAGCTAAGCTGAGATTACAGGTGTGTGCCACAACACTGGCTATTTTTTTGTTGCAGTTTGGCTGGGGCTGGGTTCAAACCCACCACCCTTGGTATATGGGGCAGGCACCCTACTCACTGAGCCACAGGCACTGCTCTTGAGACAGATTCTTACTCTGTCACCCTGGGTAGAGTGCCATGGCATAATAGCTGACAGCAACTTCAAACTCTTGGGCTCAAGCAATCCTCTTGCTTTAGCCTCCTCCGAGTATCTAGTACTATAGGTGCCTGCCATAATGCCTGGATAGTTTTTCTATTTTTAGTAGAGATCGGATCTGACTCTTGCTCAGGATGGTGTCAAATTCCTGACCTCAAGCAATCCACCTGCCTCAGCCTCCCAGAGTGCTAAGATTATAGGAGTGAGCCATTACGCCTGCCTTCATGGAATTTTTTAACTGATAAAGCAGGGTGCTGGGGGAGTCAGGTGTCTATTCTACTTTTATGTTTGAATTTTCCCATAGAACCTTAAAAAACAACATTT